TTTTTTTTTTTTTTTTTTTTTTTTTGTTCTATTCTTTGCGAGGCCACGGCAGGTGATCTAGTCAGAATACATGCACCGGGTACACCCTCAAATGCTTCCTTCTGAGTGGCCGAAGGACCCTTGACCAACATTGATTGCTCCATTTTGTGGAGGATTGACTGTCAGCTTGCCTTCCTTTCGGATTCCTCTCACACTTGGGTGAGACCAAGGCTGTAACAGCTCTGCATTCCGTAGGAGAATCTCTGAGGGATCGGAATTGGTTCTTCAGGTAACATTCCACTTTTTCCATCTCAGCTAGTTGTTGTTGATTGTTGTAACTCTTCCATCCAGTAGCCAAACGTATCTTGAGCCCACACAATAAATCCAATACTTATCATAGATAGGAGTTGGGCTGAAAGCACCAGTACACGGCCATACATCGGCCACGGGCCCCTCACCGCGACTTTCAGAGGCAAGAAGCGTGACAAAGGCCATTGATGAAACTTGTCAACGGCCACCCGGCCCCGCCCGGCCTCGAAAGTTGTGGTGGTGGGAACGAGTTCATGTTCTGCAAGGCTGGGGCCGTGTACTGGCGGTTGAAGTTTATTTTCCTGCCCTCCGAACACACATGATAGTTTCCCATCTACGTCTCTTCGCCGCGAGTCATCGTTCGATGTTGCCCACCGTTGCACTCAATTTAATTCAGTTGTTCTCTATCATATCATATGTATCCCTTACGGGATTTGAGCCTGTGTCATCGCCATGAAATGTGCTTGTAGCTCAATTACGTAGAGCACCAAACTACGGATTTAGTAGTTGAGAGTTTCATGTCTTTCCAAGCACGGGCCTATAACTCAGTTGGTTAGAGTATACGCCTGATAAGTGTAAAATCAGTATGGAGATAAAACACATCTCCGAGGAAAGCTTCTCGACCTGGTGGTCGACATAACAAGAATGACATTTGTCGAAGTGCCACTGATTGTTTACTTAGATCATCATAGATAATTAAGGCGTACATTCCATTTGTATCATAAAATTCTCCCATAGCACAACCTGCATAAGGAGCAAGGAAATGAAGAGGAGCAGGATCCGATCATCTGATGCAGTGGCTGCCCCCTTTTGGTGTTCTCGCTCTCTGGCCTCTCTGGCCTCACTATTCCTTTGTTCTTGACCTTTTGCAATCTGCACC